CACCCCCCCAACCCCCCCCCCCCCCGATACTCTCCGATCTTGTATTATCAACGCTTTCCTTCTCGTCCGACCGAGCGGGCGTTAAGATCCGTCGCGATTAGCCAATCGCAGACAGCCGTTACGGTTAGCGCTGATTTTTTTTTTTTTTTGCGATTTTGTTTTTTTTTACGATTTAGTTTTTTTTTTTTTTTTACGTTTTGGTTTTTTTTTTTTTTTTTTTTACGATTTGGTTTTTTTTTTTTTTTTTTTTTTTTTCTTTTTAGTTTTTTTTTTTTTTTTTTTTTACGTTTTAGTTTTTTTTTTTTTTTCCGTTTTTTTTTTTTTTTTTTTTTTTTTGGTTTTTTTTTTTTTTTTTTTTACGATTTATTTTTTTTTTTTTTTTTTACGATTTAGTTTGTTTTTTTTTTTTAAAGATTATTTCGAAGACGTGACGTCACACCGCGCGCGTTGACGTAAACAACCGACGTCCGACTGTTCGCGTCGCCTACGGTCGCGCTACAGTCGGACATCAGCCTGGTTTCTTTTCGGACCCGCCCCGACCTTACTCAACGTCAGCTTGGTTTTTCGGCCGTCCCGCACAATCGACGGTAAAGACGCGGACTCCAAACGTCCGATTGCGAAAAGTCACCGCAACGACGACAACAACAACCGCAAGCGACTGGATCTTAACACCTGGTGGTCGCGCCGCCGCCGCCCTAGCCGCTAACCCCCCCCCCGCGACAGTGCCTGCGTTAGCTGCTCCTACACTGTAATAGTCCCCGCCGCCCCCTGTCGGCAACAGTCTGAACTTCAACTTTTTTTTTCCTGCAGCTTCACGGGACATTAAAAAAAAAAAAAACTCCCGGAAAAACCAAGATATCACATCTTCCTGTGACGTCAGTGTAGGTACAATCGACACACGATGTGCAATTAAGGTTTGAAGACTCACCCGCGACGGACCGGAAGTGACGTCGCATGACGTGACGGTGAAGAAGAAGAAGAAGAAGAGTGACGTTGTTGTTTTTTTTTGGGTCATGTTACTTGTCTGTACTTTGTATAAACGATGTTACATTTTTAATCCGTCCCCCTTTTTTTAAAAAATGTATTTATTTAAATGCGACGGAGAACTTGCACCTGCTGTTACTGCGCCGCCACCACGGAGGAAAAAAACGTGATTAATAATCTGCTTTTCACACTGACGTCACTTGTCCTTGGATTATTTAAATCACTACAATAAAGCAGCGCTTTGTTTGGTGGGTTTTTGGTTGTTTTTTTTTTGTGTGTGTGCTCATTTGACTTGTGTTTTTTATCGTATTCGGAGTACAACGCGTACAACGGTAACGATACGGCACACGCTGGGTTTGACAGAAATGTAAAAGGAATTGTCAAAATACGACACAAAATACAAACTCGGACGACTAAAATGACTTAAACTGTAAAAATATAATAATAATGATAAAAAATAAATAAAGAAGAAGAAGAATATTAATAATAATAATAACCGGAAACGGAAACGTTGTCCTGGGAACAACACGGAAGTACGCATAAGAAGAGCGAACGGCGGGAAAACTCGCTTTTCCGTTACACACAGTAAGTCAAAACACACAAAAACAGTAGCTTTAAGTTAATATTGTGGTTTGTTTTTAAAATCATTCACCGCGGACGTGAAGAACGCGAAGCTAAACTCCGAACGCTCCTGCTTCAACCGTTCGCACCATTGGTAATAATAACCGGAACCGGAAACGTTGTCCTGGGAACAACACGGAAGTACGCATAAGAAGAGCGAACGGCGGGAAAACTCGCTTTTCTCTTACACACAGTAAGTCAAAACACACAAAAACAGTAGCTTTAAGTTAATATTGTGGTTTGTTTTTAAAATCACTCACCGCGGACGTAAAGAACGCGAAGCTAAACTCCGGACGCTCCTGCTTCAACCGTTCGCAGCATTGGTAATAATAACCGGAAACGGAAACGTTGTCCTGGGAACAACACGGAAGTACGCATAAGAAGAGCGAACGGCGGGAAAACTCGCTTTTCTCTTACACACAGTAAGTCAAAACACACAAAAACAGTAGCTTTAAGTTAATATTGTGGTTTGTTTTTAAAATCATTCACCGCGGACGTGAAGAACGCGAAGCTAAACTCCGAACGCTCCTGCTTCAACCGTTCGCAACATTGGTAATAATAACCGGAAACGGAAACGTTGTCCTGGGAACAACACGGAAGTACGCATAAGAAGAGCGAACGGCGGGAAAACTCGCTTTTCAAAAACAGTAGCTTTAAGTTAATTTTGTGGTTTGTTCTTAAAATCACTCACCGCGGACACGAAGAACCCGAAGCTAAACTCCGAACGCTCCCGCTTTAACCGTTCGCGCCATTGATTGGTATGTGTGTTGTCTCGTCGCCATTTTGTTTCGGAGGGAAACAAGGAGCCGTGATTCCATTTCGCTCTGGATTGACGCGCTCGACGTCAAGGACGAGCAGCAAAAGTACGTTCGCAACACACGAGTGTTCTTGTTGTTTCGTTATATATTATTAGATTTGGCGAATGTGTAAAACGAAAACGTAAACTATGAATTTATATTGTCCGAATGGCGCAGTAGTACCGGAGTAGTTTTTCTTACACGAAACTTGACTGTTCAATATACATATATTAACGCACATACTATGTGTATATATATGCAGTGGTGGGTAGTAACGAGTTACATTTACTCTGTTACATTTACTTGAGTCAGTTTCTCAAACTAAAAAACTTCTAAGAGCAGTTTTAAATCACTATACTTTTTACTTTGTACTTGAGTAGATTTATGAAGTAACAGTACTCTTACTCCATTACATTAGGCTACACCGAGCTTTTTACTCGTCCAGTTATAAATAAATCAGATGTTACTCAAGAGTTACTTAGTACTTAAGTAGTTTTTTTTTTAAACCAAGTACTTTTTTACTCTTCTCAAGTAAATTTCTGAATGGCTACTTTTTTGACTTCTACTTGATTAATATTATTCTGAGGTAAGAGTACTTTTACTCGAGTACAATTTTTGGCTACGCTACCCACCTCTATGTATATGTATATATATATAGTATGTAAATATATACACATTTATTTTTCCCTCCACTTTATTACTTGCTAACAAAAAATGCGGTGAACGACGCAGTGATTAAAATAAACTTTATTTTGAGAAAACGGTTACATCGCGATACAACACCAGACCTTCATACCGATATAGTGGTTTTTGACCATTTGGCACATGTTCAAAATTATAAAATGTATTTTCAAACGAATCCAAACTGTTTTTTTTGGTTCCCGCGCTCATCGCGACCTCGGACTGATGACGTTTTTTTTTTTTTAAACTTACTCTGTGCGTTCAGAGTTTCCCAATGCACGCGTCCCCTGTCGACCTTTCACCTTAACTTACTCGCGGACACGCGTCCCCTGTCGACCTTTCACCTTTGCGACCTTGACACTACGCAGGTTCTAATTTCTTCGACGACGCGTTCGCGGGTTGGACACCTGAGTGAAGAGAAAAAAAAAAGGGTCCGCGTTACTTCGCGTAAAATACTGGACACTGTCATTATTAACGGCGCAGACTTGTCGAAGTCACCCACCTGACGGCGTGAGCGTCAACCGGTCCAACTGTTCCACCAGACCTTGAGGCACCGCGGGCAGAGAGCTGAGCAGACCGTCCGCCGAAAGGCCCCGCCCCCCGGAGGGTAACAGCGGAGCGGTCGGAACAGCGGGCAGACCTGACGCGGCGTCCGGGTTCGACTCCTCCAGCAGTGAGTTCAGCTCGTCCTCCAAATCGTCCATGTCCACATCTGGAGGAAATGATGACGAAAATGTATAGATGCGAGTTTTTTCGAATTTTGTTTTTTTTTTTAACCAGTTGTGCGACACCCAGGACGAGGTGAACCAGACTTTGTCCAGCGGAGTCAGCGGCCCAGGTAAACGCATCATAACGAAAAAAAAAAAAAAAGGAAAGAAGTTTCGATACGCCGAATATCCCCTTGACGCTTGGGAAAAAAAAAAAAAAAGGAAAGAAGTTTCGATACGCCGAATATCCCCTTGGCGCTTGGGAAAAAAAAGAAAAAAAAAGACAGGAATGAAGTATCGATACGCCGAATATCCCCTTGACGCTTGGGAAAAAAAAAAAAAAAATTTATTTATTTATTTTTTTTTTTTTTTCCCAAGCGCCAAGGGGATATTCGGCGTATCGATACTTCATTCCTGTCTTTTTTTTTCTTTTTTTTTTTTTTTTTCGTTATGATGCGTTTACCTGTGCCGCTGACTCCGCTGGACAAAGTCTGGTTCACCTCGTCCTGGGTGTCGCACAACTGGTTAAAAAAAAAAAAAAAGAAAAAAAAAGACAGGAATGAAGTATCCGGACGCCGAATATCCACTTGACGCTTGGGAAAAAAAAAAAAAAACACCTCCTGAATCTGATCCACCAGGTTCTCGGCCCGCTCCACCGTCACGTCCTTCAGCGCCACCTTGAGGGCGGACACTCCGGCCTGGTAGGCCTGTATGACCTGCAAAAAAAAAAAGTTCAGCACACACTTTAGGAAATGGCAACAGGGTAAAGGTCAACAAGGAGGGGTAA